TATATATATATAAATAAATCATACTTGTATCTTCATTCGTCAAAAACCCAACACCCCTTAATAAAAAAAATTCTGAATTCCCATTCAGCCACCAACATAAAATATATAATACTATTTGGCTTATAAATAGAATAAATCAATTTTTTACGAAGTTTATTTTCACCATCGCTTGAAAATGGTACCGAACTTCACATTTTAAGTTTAATTTAAGATTTAAGTTTTGATTTTGAAACCTTGTAATTTCTATGTCGCGATGGAAACATTTTTTTAAAAATAATTATAAATTGTCGCCATTTTACATTTTTAATATCACGCATGCGCATTGTTTGTTTTTGATTTTGTCGGCTGCACAGTATTGTAGGGTCAATTGGGAACCAACCCTGAGAAAAAAGAGCACCATGACGCAATTCAATCTTCCAGAAATTTGGAAACGGCATACTGTACTATACGACCATTTCAACGTATTCGGGAGTCAATCTGAGGAAAATGAAAAGGTTTCGGAAAGAGTTGGATGAGTCTAATGGTGATGATGAAGGTGTTTGGAGTGATTGCTAGTGATCGCGACATTATGCCTACATCAAGTGCTTTGAAGAGGTAGTGCTTCCCTGGATCAAGAGGGTAGCTGTTGGAAGATTCAATTCTGGCAAGAGGACATTGCAGCATGACATGCAACAGGGGAACCCGTCATTGCTGTCAGATCATTTCAGCGACTGCATCACACCTTACATCTAGCCAACTAACTTAACAAAATGCAACTCTCTTGATTATTATATGTGGGGCGTAGCTGAGCAAGAGGCCAACAAAACTCCTTGTATCACCAAAGATGAACTGAAGGCAAAGATTATGGCAACATTCACCAACAAAATCAAGGAGACCGTTCAGAAGAATTGCAAGAGATTCCGAAGTCGCCTTGAGAACGTATTTGGAGCCAATGGTGATTATATTGAATAAATTTTCTCTTTAGTATTTCAAGAGATTTTTTGGAATTTATATATATATATATATATATATACTAGCAGCATAGCCCGGCGTTGCCCGTGCTTGATTCAAAAATGGTACGACTCATACAGCAATCGCTATCACTTGACTTAAAATATTTTTGCCCTTCCTTGCCTTTAAAGGAGTGCCCTTTGCCGTGCTGATGTTGCTACATGCCTTACTTCTTGCCTATATCACACTGCGAATTTTTTCTAAGCTCTATACTAAACATTAAATCTGTTACGAAACAAGAACTAAACAAAATGAACACAAAACGATCAGCTTTAAAAAAGGACTCGTAACTGGAAAAACCGAATGAAAAAAGAATGTTAACAACGAATACTTTTTCACACCCAACCCAGTTCTGCGGAATCAGAATCAACGTTGAGTTTAAGCAAGCGAATGAGCCAATTGGAGTAAAGTGCAATGCAGATTTAAATTTTTCCCACTTGTGACGAATGCAGCTATCGATTTTTTTTTTGCATGCTAGCATGCTAGTTAACATTCGTGTCAGTCAGCTGTTGGCTCTCACGCTGGCCAATAGAACCTTCCTGCCTATTTGTGGCAGCCACCTATAGGCTCTCACTCTGGCCACTAGAAAATGGCCTCAAACTACATGAAAACGGCCGTAAAAGCATGAAAAATCGATTATTTCCACTATTGATGGGAGTTGGGAAATGCAAAGTCGGTCTTGGCCTTCCCGCTAACTTAGAGCAAGTGCATGTAAATTTTGGTGCAAATCCGACGAAAATTGCGGCCGTGCATTGTTACACACACACATCCTGCCTTTTATATATATATATATATATATATATATATATATATATATATATATATAATACAGTGTAGAGGATTTGGAAAGTGTTAGATGTGTTTTATGGTGATTATGAAGGTATAACAAATTGAAACACTCACTTTGATCATTCTCATAAGAAAAGAACTTCTGACTTTGTTGGTGAGGGCCTCAGACTCAACACAGAGGCATACATCATTGAGAAGGTAGTGTTGCCCTGGATCAAAAGATTGGCTACTGGAAGATCCTATATGTGGCAAGATGACTTTGCATCAAGTTACACAAGCTAGCGAAACCAGTCATGGCTGACAGACATTTTCTGTAAGCACATCACCCCTTCCACCTGTCCACTAAACTGCAACCCAGGCAGATACCTATTAACTAAACAGGTTAAGTCCTGTTTGCAACTAAATGGATGTGCTTACAGGTAGAAAGGGAGACAACTCTTGTTAAGAAGAAAAAAATTACTAGCTTTAATTTTTTCATGAGATGAAGAATTGACTGATCCTGTTTTAGCTTCTTACAAATGAAAAGCAAGTGGATTAAAAGAGATATTCAAACATTTATGGTATGAATACTAAATCCAAGACAATAATACAGGGTGCAATGGGTAAATTGTCGCCATTTTATATTTTTAATTTCATGCATACTTGTTTGTTTTTGATTTTGTCGTCTGCACAGTACAGTGGGATCAGTTGTGTAACGTCTGTGAGAAAAAGACCACTTTGATGCAATTCATTCCACCAGAAATTTGGAAACGGCATGTTGTACTGCTTGGCATTTGCACCGGAAGCTCTAATATGAACATTTCAGTGTTTGGGTGTCAATCTGTTGACAGTGCAGAGGATTTGGAAAGTGTTAGATGAGTTTTATGGTGATTATGAATGTATAGCAGATTGAAAAACTCACTTTGATCATTCTCATAAGAAAATAACTTCTGACATTGTTGGTGAGGGCCTCAGACTCAACACAGAGGCATACATCATTGAGAAGGTAATGATGCTCTGGGTTAAAAGAGTGGCTATTGGAAGATCCTATATATGGCAAGAGGACGCTACATCAAGTTACACAAGCAAGCGAACTCAGTCATGGCCATCAGACAATATCTGCAACTTCCATCTGGCAAATAAACTGCAACCCACACTGATACACTCTTGATTATAATATGTGTGGCGAAGTTGAGTGAGAGACCAACAGAACTCCTTGTAACACCAAAGATGAACTGAAGGCAAGGATTATGGCAGCATTCACCAACTTAAACAAGGAGACCGTCCAGAAGAGATGCAGGAGATTCCGAAGTCGTGTGTAGGCCGGGATTGAAGCCAATGGCGATTTTATTGAATGAATTTAATGTTTAATATTCAAGATATTTTTTTTTTAGAATTTTGGTAAATATACCTTTTAAAATGAGATGTTAGTGTTATTTTCATTTCGGCGTAATTTAGACGACAATTTATCCATGCGCCATGCACATCGCAAATGAACTGCAGGTGATAAAAAAAAACAGCACTCGATGTAAAAAAAAAAAACAGTTAAAACTTAGGCTGCTAAAATAGATATGCATATATTTAAATGTACATGTATTATTCTGGTCGTAGTAGATGTGGTATATATATATATATATATATATATATATATATATATATATATATGAAAGAAATATACTCTTAAGGTGTGCTATATTTATGGTATATAGTGCTCAATATCAGAGACAGAGCGAGTGTAAATATAAAAGTAAACATTGAAGTCAACACTTAGAGGCGACAGTCTGTTTCATGCCAGACGCATTAGTCAGGTCACAATGATTGCATCTAGCATGAAAAAGACTGTCGCCTCTAAGTGTTGATTTCAATGCTCACTTATATATATATATATATATATATATATATATATATATATATATAATAGGAGTGGTACATACGGAATAAATTCCAATAACCAAAAAATACCATTCTTCAAAGAGTGCTAAATATAGAGTAGAGCAAATATAATTTATTCGAAAATTATACCATAAATATGTTATAAAATGAGTAAAAAAGACGTTTTTTCAACATTCTATTCATTATCTCTCTATCTCATTTTGTTTTTTTCTATCTATCTATCTATCTATCTCATTCTGTTCATTTTCATCTATCTATCTATCTATCTATCTATCTGTCTGTCACATTTCGTTCATTGTTTTATCTATCTATCTATCTATCTATCTATCTATCTATCTATCTCATTCTGTTCATTGTCTTGTATATCTATCTATCTCTCTCTCTCTCTCTCTATATATATATATATATATATATATATAATCGACTCTCCCGTCGCGTTCGACGTATGAGGGTCAGGCCGATAAGTCCCCAGGGAACCGATATCCCGACACCGGCACATGAGATTTGTTTATAGTGGTGAAGGCCTTGTGCAGGACCAGCCACACTTTTTGGAGGGACGAATACAGAAACCTGGTGCACCGAATGCATGCCACAAGGTTCCCAAACGACCCTCCGCAGGTTTTGGATTCAGAGTTGTCCTTCTCCTAGACCAGTTGCCATCCAAGGCTATAGAACCCAGTCTGTCCTGCTATTTTACCCATAGTTGGAGGGAGATGAAGAGGATACATACCTTTCCCAAGGGTATTAGCACGTAAGTGAATGCAGTGAATTCGACTGGAATAGATAAGAAAATGAACAAAAGTGATATATATATATATATCACTTTTGTTCATTTTCTTATCTATCTATCTATCTATCACATTTGTTCATTTTCTCATCTATCTATCTATCTATCTATCTATCTATCACACTCAGCGCATATGTCTCCCACTGTATATATGTATTTATTTTGGGAACCTCGAGGCGGTGTAATAGTTAGCAAGCTTGTCTCGGTAGATCAATTATGATTGAGTACTGAGTTCGATCCTAACAGATAGATAGATAGATAGATAGATAGATAGAAAAATCCTGATAGATACGTAGATAGATAGAAAAGAATAAGATGAGATAGATAGATAGATAGACAGATAGATAGAAATGACCAGACCAAGATAGATATATATAGATAGATAGATAGATAGATAGAAAGAAAGAAAGAAAGAAACAAGCTGAGGCAGACGGATCGATATAAGACACTCAAATGAGCGTAATACATTCCAATATATCTTTGTTTTGTACATTTGCCTCTACATTACTGTTTATGTTCATTTCGACTCCTCATTCGACTCGTCATTTTCTCTATTGATTTTATGGATCGAACCACCTACATAAATTCGAAGCCACTGCGTACGAGTTTGCAAATAGGCTACCTTCGCCTTCTCCGTCTTCATCAAAATAAAAACGCTGTCAAATTTCTTGCAAATAATCGCATTGCTTCGTGTGAATGAAAACAAAATTATCGGGCGTCAATAAAAGTATTGCTTTAATCCAAAATTCTGTTTCGCTTCATGTTGCTTTTCGCAAGAATTAAAGGCAGACCAGAAAAGGAAATGTACAGAGAAATATAAATAAATGATTTAAAAAAAATAAAAATTAAAACAAAATTGTAGTAATTCTTCCAAACGCTACTCAAAGCAGTTCCTTTCAGAACACCAAGGCAAATAAGGGCGGGTCATTAAAATATCGGTTATTGATTACTTGTATATTGGAGTCTTTCTCACTGTCTGTTCATATCTATCTATCTATCTATCTATCTATGTCTGTCTGTATGTCCTTCTAAGACATTTATTTCTCTAACTATATATGAAATTAACTTCCTTATCTATCTATCTATCTATCTATCTATCTATCTATCTATCTATCTATGTCTGTCTGTATGTCCTTCTAAGACATTTATTTCTCTAACTATATATGAAATTAACTTCCTTATCTATCTATCTATCTATCTATCTATCTATCTATCTATCCTCCCAAGACATTTCCTTGTCTAGCTCTCTCTATTTTCCTTATCTATCTATCTATCTATCTATCTATTTCAGTCTATTCCTATCTATCAATCACAGTCTGTTCGTATCAATCAGTCTTTCTGTCTATCTATTTCAGTCTGTTCGTATCTATCTATCTATCTATCTATATATCTATATATTTCAGTCTGTTCATTATCTATCTATCTATCTATCTATCTATCTATTTCAGTCCGTTCGTATCTATCACAGTGTGTTCGTATCTATCTATCTATCTATCTATCTATCTATCTATCTATCTATCTGAGTTTGTTCGTATCTATCACAGTCTATTCTATCTACCTATCTATATAACTTAGTCTATTCATTATCTATCTATCTATCTATCTATCTATCTATCTATCTATCTTTTTCAGTCTGTTCGTATCTATCTATCTATCTATCTATCTATCTATCTATCTGAGTTTGTTCGTATCTATCACAGTCTATTCTATCTACCTATCTATATAACTTAGTCTATTCATTATCTATCTATCTATCTATCTATCTATCTATCTATCTTTTTCAGTCTGTTCGTATCTATCTATCTATCTATCTATCTATCTATCTATCTATCTATCTATCTATCTGAGTTTGTTCGTATCTATCACAGTCTATTCTATCTACCTATCTATATAACTTAGTCTATTCATTATCTATCTATCTATCTATCTATCTATCTATCTATCTATCTATCTATCTATCTATCTATCTATCTATCTTTTTCAGTCTGTTCGTATCTATCTATCTATCTATCTATCTATCTATCTATCTATCTATCTATCTGAGTTTGTTCGTATCTATCACAGTCTATTCTATCTACCTATCTATATAACTTAGTCTATTCATTATCT